AGCTCTCTACGTTACACCCATCGCATCTTCTCTACTCTCTCCTTGCTCTTTTCTGACTTTAGCGCCGGCGAACTCTCGGAAAACATTCCCAAATTGTGTTTTCCCGATTCTCATATATCTGCGGAAGAGACTTGCCATCTAGTGGTTTGACCCACGTATATATATCAATATTTTTCCTATACTAGTATTTTTTTTCCAACTGGTATCCCTAAGTATTTATTTTCAGTTTACAGTCGAGTTTCGATATCTAAACGTGATTTTGAACACAATTTAAATAATAAACGCTATTTTCAAGATCGGTGTGGTCAGATAAATTAAATTTTGGTTATGTGTGGTTTTGGATTTTGAACTTTGCTTCTATTTGGGTACAAAGAGGTTCAAAGTTTATATAGCTGGAGTAGAAAATCAAAATGAAATTTTCTTGTATAATTAATTAAAATGCGTTTATTGAGTTAGAAGAAACTAAACTTTCTATAGTTAGAAGGAGAAACCGAGTGTTGGCCAACGATCCTTCGCCGTCGTAGGCTTCGATTGGTTACCTCGTTTGGAATAGTGAAGTGGTTTAACAGCCCATTTGTTACCAATCGGACGAACGCTTAAAATGAGTGGTTAAAATGGATAGTTGAAACGGAAGATTCAATTAAAATAGGAGATTCAAGATCACTAGGAGAATCTCACGTGGCTCATTTGCATTTCGTGAGTGATTATACACCATGTAATCTTCATTGCAAAGTGATTTGAGTAATATCGTGTTAGAATTACGTTAGAAATTCGTATAGGAGTTTTGGACTAGATTGATTTTCCGTTTTGGTTGTTTTGAATTCTCATATATCTTGGTTCCAAGTTATGATAAACACGTCATGATTTCTTCCCCCTATCATTGTGTACCACGTCATGCCCATCTCTATTCGGTACACTCCGTTCATCTGATTTTCTCAAATCAAGAACACTTCGCAAACATTGTGAAGGTTAACAACTAATAACTTTCTGAAAAATACGTGTATGTGTTGCTATACCTCTTTTTACATCTAGTTTAACCTCAATAGCAAACACGACTTGATTCGTTTGCTTTCTCTTTCAGAAACTCTAAGAAACTAAAAAACAATCAAACTAGGAGACTCTCACGAGGTTCATTGCATCTCGTGTGTGATTATACACCATGTGATATTCATTCCAAAGTGATTTGAGTAATATCATGTTAGAATTACGTTTAAAATCCGTATAGAGTTTTAGACTAATTACATTTGAAATCCGTATAGGAGTTTTGGACTAGACTGATTTTCTGTTTTGGTTGTTTTGAATATTCGTATATGTTGGCTCCCAAGCTATGATAAACACGTCATGGTTTCTTCCTCTTATCATTGTGTACCACGACATGCCCATGTCTATTTGTAACACTCCGTTCATCTGAATTCCTCAAGTCAAGATCACTACGATCATACCTTTACAAATGATGCGAAGGTTAACTAATAATATTGTGAGTACTATGTGTATGTGTTACTAGACCTCTTTTTACATCTAGTTTAACCTTGATAGCAAACATGACTTGATTCGTTTGCTTTCGCTTTCGGAAACTCTACGAAACTAAAAAACAATAGGGCGTTTGGAATTTTGTGAACCGCTAAAAATAGGTGAGCTTGCAATCATCTGGTTTATCAATAGGGCGTTTGTAATTTTTGAAAATAGTTAAAATAATTTTTTCTTTTTTAAAAGTACTTGAATATATATATATAATGTTATTATGAAATATTTAAAAATCAAACTAAAACTTTAAAAATTAAATCATTATATCTATTTTAAATTATATTTTGATATTTTTCTAGGGAGAATTAAGAAAATAGACCAAATTCTATAGAAAAATTAAAATACTAGACCAAATCTTCTAAAATTAAAATAATAGTATGGTTGAAATGAGGATTAAGCAATTTTATAATTAACTAGAAAGCCCAACACTAACCCTTAACTGGCACTTCCACTCTCCCGTTGACAAAATTGTATTAGCCATATTCTGTGTTGAATTTTGAAAATTATATTTGGTAAATCCACTTTTCTTCTTTTATTTTGAAAGAAAATCATATAAGCTCGTAGAAAATTAGAAATGATTTATGATTATTCACAACATTATACTCCAAAGCTCATCTAGATATATTTTATTTTTGGTCGAAACATCTCGATATATAAGCCGTAGATTTTTCTCTTCTTTTTGCTCACACATTGTCTTTCTTACCTAAATTAAATATGAACGTTGAACTCAAATAGTTTATTACAACTGTAATTCATCTTGCTCTTATACGATTTACCCCACTTTAATGTTGTTGTTATCATTATTTGGGACAACAAATTTATAGTTTAACTATATATATGATAATATGAATGAGGTAACTATACTGATATTTACTCCCTCCGTTTCAAAATGTAAGTTGTTTTAGAGATTTTTTTTGTTTCAAACTGTAAGTTGTTTTGACAATCCTAGGTACTTTTTAATTTTATTGAATATTGTGTGACCACTAGTATTTTGCAATCTTTTGTATGATTGGTCAAATTATTTTTAATAAATATATTAAATGATACTTTTTAGTAGAAAAATAGTTTCTTAATATCCGTGCTTTTAACTAAAACAATTTACATTTTGAAACAGAGGGAGTATATGTTTTACTATTAAGTGATATACATAAGTTAAGCTCTAAATATATAATAGTGGTCTATTAGATACATGTTAATATATGGATTATTAACCTTTTTCTTTTCGTTTTAAGAATATGAATACGTTGATATATGGATTAGATCATTAGATACTGAATTCTTTAACCTTTTTGGATTATTATACACGTTTTATTTAAATGATTATCTAAACAAGGGTAACTAACAATGTCAACTTTAGCCTATTTCACTAATTTTAAAAGATGCGGTCTATTTTCTTAATTTTAATTTGTTTTTGGGTTATTTTCTTAACTTTCCCATTTTTCTATAAAAAAAACATATACTATTCAACCGCTTGTAACCAACCATAACTATTTCTTAACTGCTTGCTTTAACTCAACCACCTTCTCTGTACAGTCATTTCTAACCGCTTTCTGTTTAGCCTCTTCACAACCGCTCAAAAATTATTTAATAGCTATGTTTAAACGTGGTAACTAATCTAACCCATAGTAAATAGGGTTTTGATTCATGATTAACACTTGTGAGGTTCCACAAAACTTAGGACAACCGTATAGTAAACACATTAAAGTTCATAATTAGCAAATATTGATTCCAAAAACATTTGAAAGTTTATGATGACTTACGAAAGTTTCTCAAACAACATGCGAGCAGAAGATTTAGAATAATTTTAATTTCCTAACAGCAAAATTTTACATGAAAATACTGTAAATTGGAGGTGATAGAAGCTGAGAGATGAAAGTAAGAGCACACTTGTTTCCAAAACTAAAAATTGGATTCGAATGGGCAACAAGTGAATGAGAAAGAGTTTCAAGATCTACGGACAACAGCAGTGGCGAAATAAGGATGGTGATTGAACTCAAACGACACCTTAAGCGAACAGTCTCGACTGATGAGATTCACAGCAATAATATTATGTTCTGCGACTTGCTCTAAACCCCTTACTTCAGCCAATTTTCCAGGATCGTTGGCGAAACCGACCTTTATGTCCTTAGCGATCTTTTGAGCATCGCGGAAGTACTCGTACATAGGAAGGTACTGCAGCAAAAGTAATAGATACCACTTTTCACATATTTACACATAGGCATCACTAAAACTAGCTTCGTAGTGTTCATGATTATCTTACAAAAACATTATTTAATATTCAAATATTCTTCAATTATGCTGTTCTACAATTCATCTAGCAAAGTAAATGAGACTGAGCATTAATAAAAGTTGTATAGAGCACTTACGTCGAGACGGGTATGAGAAGTGGATTCTGTGTATGATTCATATGCATCATACTCGGGAAGAGATGCCTTCTGGAGGAGTTCAAAATGCTGAGTAAATTTCTGCACATAGAGGAAAATGGGAAGTCGAAGTCATACACGGGAAGGGATAAAAACCATGGACCTAAAACCGAAGCTGAGAAGGGACTTAAAGCTTGATTCAACAACTATGCAACAGAGAAGGGACTTATGTTAACCTCATTTTCGGTATTAAAAGGTCCTTCACTCTTTATACACATCCCTTGATTTCGTAAAGCAGAAAGCATCTATGGTAAAGCACAACTGGTCAGGTTGAAGATAAGCATTTGATTACAACAAAGGAAGGAGATTAAAGACAAAATTACCACTGTGAGCCCTTGTGCAAGGGAAGTCTGGCATTGAAGAAGCAATACACATAGACTAATACGATCTTCCCGAGCCATATCCCTATGATAATCCTTATTCTTCTTTGCCTTCCGTTCCTCTGATCCAGATGATGAGGCATAAGTGCATTACACAAAGACATACAAATACGGTGTCCAGTTATGCTGAACCAATTACCCTACAGATGATTCATCTTCAAAACACTAGAATACCAAAAACAAATGAATCTATATGAACGCTTACCAGT